CCCAATGGTGTCCCGCTTTACCAGTGTTAAAATCTGGTCACCTTAGTTGAAAGTCAGCTTTGGCCTAAAAGATTCAGACTCCTCCCCCATTCGAGCCTTTCCAGTGAAGCAGATGATGTGCCATTGCCTCCTGTGTCTGCTGTTAGCACTTGTAAGGTTAGGAGAGAAGGGCTGACCCTTTCAAGTGAGGTTCTGTCACCACGGGAGCCTGTGTCTTATTGGTTCACAGAATTTGACAAATAACTAAAAAGTTTAAAAAACTCAAGGAAGCAGACTTCTTGAATGAAATGTCTCTGATTGTGTTAAAATCAGATGTTTAAAGATTTCCTCCGATGATTCTACTTGCTGACTTGGACAGTCAGAGTTAATTGGGTTTGCCAATGCAGGCCTGGCTCATTCCAGTTAGTTGGTGTCCCTTTTCACTCTCAGAACCGCAGTGTTTGGGCGGCAGATGATGTGGTCAGCCCACAGGAATGTTGGTCCAGTCTGGGAGTGTTCTGCCCTGTTCTCATGCAGATTCAAGCTTCCTCCTTCAAGTAAACTAAGTGGCCTGTGTTATTTTATTTTTGTCTTACATTATAATGCCAGTAATTGAATGGTTGAGTTCTTTGGAACTAATATATACTAAGAAGATACTACAAATGTGTAATAGTAAGTACTGATAAGATGCTAATAAATACTAATAAATTTCAGAAACCTTTCTTTATAAAGTGTAAATGTCAAAAGGACTGCTTATTTGTTTCATCTTTAAATAGAACATTAAGTTGATTTTTCTGTTAAAACTCTTTGGGAGGGGAAGTAGTAATTTATATTTAAAAATAATTTTAATAGGGGAGGCAAGTGTGAAGTCCTCCCTACCTCCATTAAATCTAAGATACTGGGATATGACAACACCTTGGGACTCTGACAGACTGGCTAGGCTGTTTCTGCTTCCTGAGGAGAGCCCACAGCATAGCCAGGAGAGCAGTGGGGAGCGGAGCCACTGACTGTGCTTTCCTGTGTGGTCTGTGTTGGAGTTACCAAGGATTTATCATTCCAGTGTAATGATCCAGTTATTTAAAATGTACTCCTTTCTAAAATTACACGGTTTATGTTGTTTGAAAAAATTAGGATTTTTGGATACTAAGAGTATTAAGTTTAGTCATTTTTTTTTTT